TGAGTTCAAATGTCTGGACACAAAGCTTCTGCGAGCCCAATCTCAACATCCAACAGCTTGCCTCACAATGCACCCTGCCTCATGTACTCACAGCTCTGCACTTACACAAGCCTTGTAGACGACCCTTTAGACATCCGAGAAGTGTGAGTGCGTGTGAGTATGAATGCGAGCGAATGAGTGACAAAATGCTGCCCCTGCCACACAAACACACACCCAGACGCACAGAATGCAGCGCCATCCGCAAAGTGCTGCGCCTGCCACGATTTCGCAACGGCATCGCCAAAGTGCTGCGCCTGCCACGAATTCGCACACCCCCCGCCGCGCGCGCGACAACATCCTGTCCCTCTAGACAGCTGCCGAATGCGACCCCTGCCACACAAACACACACCCAGATGCACAGAATGCTGCGCCTGCCACGACTTCGGCAACGGCATCGCCAAAGTGCTGCGCCTGCCACGATTTCGCAACGGCATCGCCAAAGTGCTGCGCCTGCCACGATTTCGCACACCCCCCGCCGCGCGCGCGACAACATCCTGTCCCTCTAGACAGCTGCCGAATGCGACCCCTGCCACACAAACACACACCCAGATGCACAGAATGCTGCGCCTGCCACGACTTCGGCAACGGCATCGCCAAAGTGCTGCGCCTGCCACGATTTCGCAACGGCATCGCCAAAGTGCTGCGCCTGCCACGATTTCGCACACCCCCCGCCGCGCGCGCGACAACATCCTGTCCCTCTAGACAGCTGCCGAATGCGACCCCTGCCACACAAACACACACCCAGATGCACAGAATGCTGCGCCTGCCACGACTTCGGCTGCGCCTGCCACGATTTCGCACACCCCCCGCCGCGCGCGCGACAACATCCTGTCCCTCTAGACAGCTGCCGAATGCGACCCCTGCCACACAAACACACACCCAGATGCACAGAATGCTGCGCCTGCCACGACTTCGGCAACGGCATCGCCAAAGTGCTGCGCCTGCCACGATTTCGCAACGGCATCGCCAAAGTGCTGCGCCTGCCACGATTTCGCACACCCCCCGCCGCGCGCGCGACAACATCCTGTCCCTCTAGACAGCTGCCGAATGCGACCCCTGCCACACAAACACACACCCAGATGCACAGAATGCTGCGCCTGCCACGACTTCGGCAACGGCATCGCCAAAGTGCTGCGCCTGCCACGATTTCGCAACGGCATCGCCAAAGTGCTGCGCCTGCCACGATTTCGCACACCCCCCGCCGCGCGCGCGACAACATCCTGTCCCTCTAGACAGCTGCCGAATGCGACCCCTGCCACACAAACACACACCCAGATGCACAGAATGCTGCGCCTGCCACGACTTCGGCAACGGCATCGCCAAAGTGCTGCGCCTGCCACGATTTCGCACACCCCCCGCCGCGCGCGCGACAACATCCTGTCCCTCTAGACAGCTGCCGAATGCGACCCCTGCCACACAAACACACACCCAGATGCACAGAATGCTGCGCCTGCCACGACTTCGGCAACGGCATCGCCAAAGTGCTGCGCCTGCCACGATTTCGCAACGGCATCGCCAAAGTGCTGCGCCTGCCACGATTTCGCACACCCCCCGCCGCGCGCGCGACAACATCCTGTCCCTCTAGACAGCTGCCGAATGCGACCCCTGCCACACAAACACACACCCAGATGCACAGAATGCTGCGCCTGCCACGACTTCGGCAACGGCATCGCCAAAGTGCTGCGCCTGCCACGATTTCGCAACGGCATCGCCAAAGTGCTGCGCCTGCCACGATTTCGCACACCCCCCGCCGCGCGCGCGACAACATCCTGTCCCTCTAGACAGCTGCCGAATGCGACCCCTGCCACACAAACACACACCCAGATGCACAGAATGCTGCGCCTGCCACGACTTCGGCAACGGCATCGCCAAAGTGCTGCGCCTGCCACGATTTCGCACACCCCCCGCCGCGCGCGCGACAACATCCTGTCCCTCTAGACAGCTGCCGAATGCGACCCCTGCCACACAAACACACACCCAGATGCACAGAATGCTGCGCCTGCCACGACTTCGGCAACGGCATCGCCAAAGTGCTGCGCCTGCCACGATTTCGCAACGGCGTCGCCAAAGTGCTGCGCCTGCCACGATTTCGCACACCCCCCGCCGCGCGCGCGACAACATCCTGTCCCTCTAGTGAGTGTGAGTGAGTGAGTGTGAGTGAGTGAGTGAGTGAGCGAGTGAGTGAGTGAGTGAGTGAATGAGAGTGAGTGAATGAGAGTGAGTGTGAGTGAGTGAGTGTGAGTGAGCGTGAGTGAGTGAGTGTGAGTGAGCGTGAGTGAGTGAGTGTGAGTGAGTGTGAGTGAGTGAGTGTGAGTGAGTGTGAGTGAGTGAGTGTGAGTGAGTGTGAGTGACTGAGTGAGTGAGTGAGTGAGCGAGTGTGAGTGAGTGAGTGTGAGTTGAGTGAGTGTGAGTTGAGTGAGTGAGAGTGAGTGAGTGAGTGAGTGAGTGAGTGAGTGAGTGAGTGAGTGAGTGAGTGAGTGAGTGAGACAGTGATGAGGAGGGAGGGCGGGAGGAGGAGGAGAAGGAGGAGACGCGGCGCGCGGACGACGAGCGGAAAAAGTAAGAACCCCACACAAAGATGTGGGGAAAAAGCACAAATTTCCGTCCTTTGGCCGCAAATACGCTTTTTCACTGCAAACGTGCCGTTTCAAGTTTGGCTGAACACATGGTCGGGGAAAGTCGCCGTTTGGTCGGGTATTGTCGCCGTTTGGTCGGGTATTGTCGCCGTTTCGCCTTCGTGGATTTGTCCAGAAGAGCAACAAAGTGAAAAGTGCCTGGAGACACAAAAAAGTGTTGTTTGTCTGAAAAAGCAGCTTTTCACGAAAAGGCATGAAAAATACACGCTTGGGAAGATCCAGGTATGTATATATACACACTCATATCCCAATATGAACATACAAATGCACATGTACGCAATTTCTGTTTTCTACGCACACCCACATACACATACATCTATACACATATATATATATATATGTATACATATATGTATATATGTATAGATACACGCATATATATATATACACATACAAATATAGACAGATACGATCCATGCGTAGACATCATGCGTTTTTGGAGCCTAGACTCTAGAGCGGACCCTCCCCCTACAAGCAGGAGAGCCGGAAAGACCCTCATTGGGCACTCTGACGAGGCCCTCAACAATGGAGCTTCGGAGAGCCCGCGTAAGTGGCCCTTGGCAACAACAGGAGCCACCAAATGTATGACAATCAGCATTCGCTCATCCAACCCTTGTGTTTTGCCCAGTGTTCAGCGCATGCTAACTCAATGCGATGCGTTTGGCTGCTGAACGGGTGCTGATCAAATTGGCTTGGCCTCCCACCGCACGCCGAACCCAACAGCGAAATCGTCCGTCGTAGGGAATGTGGACCAGACACCCCCCCCCCGCAGTCAGTCAGGTTCCATGTTAGTTGGTGGGAGGGTAAAGGGAAACCTAATTGACAAAAACATAGAGCAGCGTGCTTGCAATGGAACATCCCGATGGGAACTTGCTCACTTCCAAGAATTGTTGGAAAGCGTATTGGTCATGGACTTCGTGTAGCCCCCACTTCCCAAAGTCAGGCTCCATTCTAGTTGTGAGTTTCTCAAATGGTGGACCACTTTGGGTCGGTATTTAAAGGGGAAACAACACCGATCGGTGGATGTGGTCAATTAATTCCATTGTGATTTGAGCCACATCCACCGATCTTAGTCCCAACATGTGAAAAGCAGCAAGAAGTCGAGCCTTTCAATCGGTCAGCAAACAACGCCGTTCCGTACGGTCACCAAGATTGCACAGCTCATGAGAGGTGTTCTCAATGAACAAGAATGGTACCAGAACCCCCCCCCCCCCCCCCCTCCTGTAGCGCAAATAGGGATCGAAGGATGCTGATATATTCCAGAATGACAAGGCGCGGAGACATCACTGGCTGCGCAGCTATTCTCTGTGAGAGTTAAGCCACTGCGGACTGCACAAGCAACGATGACATTCACATGCAGTACAAAGTATGATACAAGGGATTCCTACACTGCTGTATGGGTCAATCATGTACAATTCAAGTAACCCCCCCTCCCCGGTACCGATCTTGGTCCCGACGCATACCAGGATCAACAATATGTTGGAGCCCCTAATTTTTCAACTGCCTTGGGCCCTAGTCGCGACGTATTCGCTGGTTGCCACCGGTGAGCCAACGTTAGAGCCCGGCAGTTGATGCGACCTGGCACCATCCTTGCGCTCTGCGGCCTGCAGGCTGCCTGCGGCTTAGACCTTGGTTTGGTACGGCGTACGGTGCAAACAAGTGTTCTTAAATTAAATAGTGAGCCAATGAGAAACCAACATGGGGAGGGCGGTTGCCGTTCAATTTTGGAACCCTTGCGCCCGAACTACCCTTGAAGGTATTGCTGCTCAATAGTTATGGTGCAGTATGCATTCTGTCAAGCTCGGTTTGAGAGCTGCAGGTGGTTTGAGAGCGTTGGACTTGTGAAGTCCCGCGCGAGGCCTGCACACAATCCAATCCAACGCGCCCAACCAAGATTTAGAGGGTGCCAGTGGCGGCACAGGCGATTCGGACCAAGGCTGGCCCCCAACACGGGAACGTACATGTTCAAACTGACGTATCTCAGATGCAAACCCAAAGAAGCAAACAACACATTCATTCTGTGAACGCAAATGAGGCCATCTCCCTCCCCTCCCCTGCCCTGGTCTCCCCTCTCCTCCCCTCCCCTCGCCTCCCCTCCCCTCCCCCTTTTCTCCCCTCCCCTCCCCTCCCCGAGCCCGCTCCCATGTTTCCCCACGAAACAAGGCCCGGAAAGTTAGGGGACCCTACGTATCAGGAAGTTCTCGTAAACAATTCCTTGGAACTAGGGGCCATCGCTGGTTGGAACTCGAGCGGAATTGGCGGAGCCGTGCCTGATCAAAAGGTATATTGGAGACCTCTTGGGCTGTGACCCGTTTTCCCAAAATCATGGAAGCGGGCAGGATGGTTGTGGCAGACTACCATTGGTTTAACAAGGCCAAGCGTCCACTGCCTTGCCGCAGCGCCGAGGACCGACTGAGCCGAGCTTTGCAGCGCAGTGTGTCTGCAGCCTTGGCTGGGGCAGCCAAGAGGCATGGAGCAGAGGTGGGCCTTTGTAGCGCCAGGCGGGGGGGGGCATGCATGAGGAATACGTTGGTGTGTGCGTGTGGTGTCAAAACGGGGGTCTGCCAAGAACAGGTTTCCAATTGGTTTCCCGCACAAACAAAGCTGCCAAAAGGTATTCTGGGAAAATACACCACATACACGCTTAATCGTTAGACGTTTGTTTGTAGAGTTCCTGGCTGCAATCGGTTTTGATTTTTTGGGTTCCGAGGTCTGAATGTGCGAGCCCGTGTGTGAAACCTTAGCATTATATATATATATATATACCCCTGGCTCCAATAAGGTAATTGACGTGTATTTTTGGCTGAATTAGGGAAGCCATCACAGAGAAGCCATCGTCCTTTGATCATAGGCTGTTCTGATTGGTGGGGATTTGGCTTGGTGAATTGGAGTTGGGTGCTTTTGCTGACCTTGGCAGTGTGTGAAGTTGTCCTTCTAGGGGGGGGGGAGAAGCTGAGGGTCGGAGAATTCCATGCAGGCCAGTTTCACATCTCAGGGGGCTGGCCAAGGAATTCAAACCACCAATCCAAAAACCACCAAGCCAAACTCCAAACCATCCAAGGAGTTGGTTGTTTTTTTTCCCATAGGACCGGCGAAGGCGTGGATGAGCTGTTCTGCTCCGTGCTGGCCGCCTGCTTGGCACCCTGGCGTTCGAACGAACCTGGTTTGAGACATGCCTATAGCCCCTAAATAGGCCTTACTAGACATGTCCGGTCTTTCGACAGCTGGTAGATGGGCGGGAGGTGGGCGCTGACGACCCTTCCCCATACATCTTAAGTGCCGGGGCAGGACGTAGGTCCCCCCAACTGTTTCCCAGTTGGGGCTGGAATGGTTGTTGAAAATTGGGTTGTAGGGCCAGCTTCCGTGATACCGAGGGGATCCCTTTGAAACTGATGTGTTAATTAGGGGACTTTCCAGAAGCATGGGTTCCTCTTGGTTTTCCTGCAAACAAACACAAAGGGCACCTCAAAAACAGACACCTACATTGAAATCACGGATTTCGGGTTCTTTCCCCCGACCGGCACTGGCCTCTGAGGAGGGCAATGGCCTCCCGGCGGCGGAGCCAGTGCTAAACCGGGTCGCCGGCACGCTCACCAGCGCCCAGTTGATGGAACACTTACTGCGCCGCCACGTGGATCGACGCCGAAGCCGCCCGCTGGAACTCGCGTGAGGGTGCATGAATCGACATAGTGGAACTCCCAAAATTGTGGTTTCCGCGTGGCATTTGTTCCGTGAGCCCAGCTGAAAATAGGGTACGCAAACAGCACGCATCCATTTGGTGCCATTTACTGTGTTCCTTTTAGTCGTTACAAGCTGAGGGTTCTCAAGGTCCCTTGAAATTGGCATCTCCTTTGTTTGGAGTGTCCGTTTAAAAGGATGCCAAGGCGAAGACCACAATTTGAAGCGTCCCCCTATTTTGACGCATACCCATTCGCAGCTTGTTGCCTGCAGTTGGTGCAATTCGGCTTGATTTTAGATGGGCTCGTGCCATCAAAGGACAAGCACTCAGTGTAGCAATAAGTGCGCTGGCGACTTTCACCCACTTGAAGCATCATGATTACAAACAACTAGGCGTCAAAATAAAGGACCCCCAGAATGGGTGGTTTCCTGTTGGATTCTCTTTCAACCTGAACATGGCACCCTCAAAAAAAGCACATGCTTCTGGACGCGTGGAAGCGGCGGTCCTTGACTGATGATGGGCCATGTACATAGATCCGGCGGCAAAACAGCTGAGGAGGGAGACGTACCCTGAAGAAAAGCATGCTCCCCCATACATTTTCCCGCAAAGGCAGGACACGTTTGTTCCAGTTGGGGTGGAGGATCCTCAGTACCAACAGGAGGTTAATGGGACATGCAAACCACTATGTGGAAACCGTCTTAGTGGATCTCATGCCCGTCGCTTGCGCCAGGTTTGTTATCCACAGGAAGCCTGATGCAAAGGCGAAGACAACGCGTGGCGAACGTTGGAGGCGGCAGGGGCCAAATTCACACTCCGTAAGGTAACCCCAGAGAAAACCCGACACAACCCGAGAGCTTCCGCTATCGCCTTATAACTTAGGACCACCAGGATTTGGAGGTTCCCCACGGCTTCCCTGGCGTGTGGTGGTTTTTGCTCATGAAAGATGGCTTTGCTCAGAAGAGTCATTTGTCAACTACAAGCAGCTGCACGGCGCTGTTTCCTTTCAAAAGACCCCGCCGGGCACAGATCCCACTTTGGCTTTGGTCTATTTATTAGCCTTCCCCAAGGGGGTGCGCTTTGAGGGTGCCTTGCAGGGTCCTCGAAGCGGTGTGTGAGCACAATGGGGAATGTTGGCAAAAGCCTCCTCGCATCGAGGGCGCTGGAAAGCAAGATCCAACTTGAGCCAGTTGCGATGGATGAAACCCTATGAAAAATGGTTGACTAATTTTCAAGCCAAACTAGTGCATGGCGTGAGTTTAGTCCATCCACGCCATTCTTGCCAGGCAATGGGGATCTCCAGATACAGTGTGGTTCCATGGTCCTTGGGATCAGTTGTTCAGCTGCACCCGAAATATGTCTTGTTTTTTGGGCTGGGTTCCGCCCTGAAAATAGTCAACTCGCTAGAGAGAGAGCGAGGGAGTAAGCCAGCAGAGAAGCAAGGACGCAAGGAAACAAGGAAGGAAGGACGGAATAAAGAAAGAAGCGACACAATGAAGACAAACAAAAACCAAGAAATACATAAAGAAGTACAGAAAGGACACCAAGAAGGAAGCGCAACAAACCAGGGCTTCCTGTTATGGGGTAGCCCGGGCGTGATGCCATGAGCCAGGCGTTTCACAGCGCGAGGCCGTTTCCGACTAGCTCCCAGCGTGTCACTCTCAGCGTGTGGAATTTGCGTGTGGGAATTCTTGCCCGCCGGCCCTCTCAGAACCCTTCTGAGAACCACTAAGAAGCTGAGCCTCGGTTTTCCGAAAGGAGGCAAATGCATTTTTCAAGTGACGCACGTGCCGGTCCAGTTCTTCTTTGTGAGTGGGGAATCGATCAGGAATTGCTCACGGGTGGCAGTTTGTTTATATTGCGCTGCGAGCTTTTTGTGGGACTGGTCGACACAAACACACACACACACACACACACACACACACACACACACACACACACACACACACACACACACACACACACACACACACACACACACACACACACACACACACACACACACACACACACACACACACACACACACACACACACGCACACGCACACGCACACGCACACGCACACGCACACGCACACGCACACGCACGCACACGCACACGCACACGCGCACACGCACACGCACACGCACACGCACACGCACACGCACACGCACACGCACACGCACACGCACACGCACACGCACACGCACACGCACACGCACACGCACACGCACACACGCACACGCACACGCACACGCACACGCACACGCACACGCACACGCACACGCACACGCACACGCACACGCACACGCACACGCACACGCACACGCACACGCACACGCACACGCACACGCACACGCACACGCACACGCACACGCACACGCACACGCACACGCACACGCACACGCACACGCACACGCACACGCACACGCACACGCACACGCACACGCACACGCACACGCACACGCACACGCACACGCACACGCACACGCACACGCACACACACACCCCACACACACACACACCACACACACACATGCAGTGAAAGATGGTTGAGGTTGGCAAGGTCGCAGCCAGAACTCTTTGGGGTCTTCAGACTTGCTGGTCGAAATCAATCCTTAACCCTTATGTCAGACGGTCGTGGCTTCCCTTGTAGTAATGCCCCACTGCGGGCTACAGATTCGGATTAGGGCCTCCATTTTGAACCACCCAGTCAAGAAGTTTCTCCTTGGCTGAGGCCCCTCGGCGTTCCACCATCGGATGGGAGGAGTTGGGGCGGGCAGGGGTGCGCCCGCATGGGTGCCCTTGTGCGACAGTACCCCACAAGCTCATGCATGCATGTCAGTATGAGCTGGTGATGTGGCGATGTGACATTGCAAATTCGGATGCAGTTGGTGCAAATCATATCACTTCCCAAGCAAAACATGTTTTATTCTTTCCAGAATGTGTTTCGACCCACCAGGTTGATGTTTGTTCAATTAGGGAACTCTCCGAATGCTGCCTTTTGAAACAACCTCAAGCAAGACTTCTGAATTTGCACATATCTGGGCAATACATCATACCGAGCTCACCTGGGTGCAAAACGAGCTTACTCGTGATGAAGATCCCTCGTTTCTTCAGGCATGTTTTGCAATTGTCAATGTCCCATGTTTCTGTTTTGTTTGACTTGTCCACGTTTGCCTTGCTTGTTCAGAATACGTTGCATCCTTTCGGCTCGAGGCGCCTGGCCCTTAATTGACGCTTTAGGATAGTGATTCATTCCGCGAGTGGCGATGGCCTGCGCCACCCAGACAAACAGTTTAAAAGGAGGGGGGTGGGGAGTTCCTATGAAATCGACAAACCATGTTCCCTTCTTTTCACATGGCCCCTGGTGTGGTTTGTCCCATGCAAAATTAAATCCACTAGCAGGATGCCCGGTTTGGAGGAAGAGCTTCCGATCCCTTTTTTCCTATGGGCAACTGGGCTTTCAAATTAAAATACCTGCTTCCCCCTGTTTCCCTTTAGAAGCATTTGTCCAAACAAGAGCGCCAGTTTCTTCTTTGCCCCTGGTGTTGGAGGGGGTTGCCCCGTAGAGTCACCCACCAAAGACCTGATTGCCCAACGAACTCCAATAACAGAAGCAGCGCGCCCGTAATTGTTCCAGTTTCGCATGGCCACTTTTTTGGGGTAGGGTGTCCCTTGAAAATCCACCCACGAAGGCTCCTTGTCCAGCACAGCTCCCTTTTCCAGTCTGGCCCATCTGAGGTCAATGTGCCGGGCCCGGGCCATGCCTTGGCGCCCATCTCCCGGCTCATGGCTCGCGTCTGGGGCAACAGCGACAACCCCTACGACGCCAAGGCGGGGGGGGCTTGGGGGGGTGGTTGGGGGGGTCGGAAAGGTTGGGGGGTTGGGGGGGTTTGGTGGGTTGAGGAGGGTTGGGGGGTTTGGGGGGAGGAAACCTGGTAACTGAAAGCTTGAATCTTTGGATCCTGGTGGTTAGCGGTCGTTTGTGGTTGAGGCTGGGCGCCCTTAACTTGATTTAACAGCTTTTCTACCTTTCGCGTCACTGGTGACTGAAGGGCAGCTGTTGGAAGAAATTGGATGGGGGGAGCTTATGTTTGTGGTTCAGTGGGGGGGCTCTGCTTTTAGGGTTGGGTGGATGAGGGGGTCTGCCGAAAGGAATGACGAGAAGTTAGTTGTGTGCTGTGCGGGCTTAAGGGTGAGCTGTGGAGTGGTTGGGGGTCCAAGAGAGGTTTGGTCAAGATTAGCAGTAGTGTATGGTTCATTCAGAGGACATGGGGGACTCTCTAGTTTTTCCCCAAAAAAGCTGGGGACTCACTAAACTTCCCATGTCCTTGGCACCTTCGCAATTTTGAGCGTTGGCTCATTGCGGTTCGTTTCCCAGAATTAAGCCATACTATGCGGACAGTTGATCAATATATTGGGTGTTCACATCGGTTCACATGCCAGAAGCTCATATCGGTTTGTCATGTTTGTCATGTCAACCCGCAAATGTTGTTTTCCTTGTGAGTTTCCCTTCAAAAAGCACACAAAGACACAGATGCATGGGTTCATAGATTCAGCCTTTGAGTTTGCTCAGGTGGCCCTGAAGCCAAAGCAACATGTGGAGAAGATTTCGGAGAAGAGCGCCGAAGGCAGGTCTGTTCGGGAGACATGGGTATTCCGGTCTGTTGGCTCATGGGCCCAGGCCAATAGCTTCATGGGCGCCTGCTGTTTGAGGGTTCCCTGTTTGGGGTGCTTTAAAAGGGACACCAAAAGCAAGCCACCTGTGGGAGAAGGGGGAGGGTATTTTGGCACAAAGGGGGGTATATTGGCACAAAGGGGGGAGGGTCATAAGGGAGCAAGGGGTTTTTGGTGGCATCCCTTGTTCGAGACGGCACAAGCAGCGCCAGGGTCCAAAAAGGGCCCTTTCACAGTGCATCTTCACATGGCTGCTCGCAACAATGACTTGCCAGAAGGACTGTCAAAGGTGTTGTTTCTTGTTTATTTGTTTTTTGTTTATTTGTTTGTTTGTTTGTTTGTTTGTTTGTTTGTTTGTTTGTGTGCGTGTTTGTTTGTCTTGTTTGTTTGTTTGTTTGTTTGTTTGTTTGTTTGTTTGTTTGTTTGCGTGCTTGGTTGTGTGATTGGTTTGTTTGTTTGCTTGTTTGCTTGTTTGTTTGTTTGTGTGCGTGTTTGTTTGTTTGTTTGCTTGCTTGCTTGCTTGCTTGCTTGCTTGCTTGCTTGCTTGCTTGCTTGCTTGCTTGCGTGCTTGGTTGTGTGATTGTGTGATTGTTTGTTTGTTTGTTTGTTTGTTTGTTTGTTTGTTTTGTGATTGTTTGTTTTTGTGATTATGTTTGTTTGTTTGTTTGTTTGTTTGTTTGTTTGTTAGTTTGTTAGTTTGTGTGTTTGTTTGTTTGTTTGTTTGTTTGTTTGTTTGTTTGTTTGTTTGTTTGTTTGTTTGAAGAGTTGGTTGGTTGATTGTTTGTTTGTTTGCTTGTTTGCTTGTTTGCTTGCTTGCTTGCTTGTTTGTTTGTTTGTTTGTTTGTGTGATTGTTTGTGTGATTGTCTGTTTGTTTGTTTGTCTGTTTGTTTGTTTGTTTGTTTGTTTCTCTGTTCGTTTTGTGGCATCGGCTAATGAGCTGCCTTCCTGAGCTGCATAGAAGCAAGATCGCGTTCTATTGCTGGCGTTCAACTGCACATGTTGCCGAACCCGGTATGTGCCAAAATGGCCCAGATGCTTCGCCTCCCAGGGGAAACACAAGGGGATGGCTATTTTCGCATTTGTCCATTTGCCACTCAGAATTTAACTGTAATATGGAAATCAGGCACCCTAAAGGTCTGATTGCCGGAACTGATGACCGACCGAACGTTCCCGGGCAATGGATATTCTTCCATTTGTTTAAGAATTCCCCTTAGCAAATGGATGTGCAGCGAAACCGTTGCGGAGAGGCCCTCTTTTCTCCGCCTCTCCAAATGGGATAGATTTCTATGGGCTCCTTTTTTCTGCTCCTGGGGCCCTGCGTGACACCCTTGGGGCGTTTTGCGTTTTCAGCTTTTTCACATGTCTCCACAAAGAGTTCGTCCAAATTCCACACCTGACTTGCGGGGGGACCCTCTGGCTGGATTTGCTCCTGGTATCCTTTGAGGCTTAAAGTGGCACTTGCGTCAGGTGAGGAAAAGGGGAAGAGCGAGCGGCGGAAGGAAGTGCACATAGATTCCACCACCATGGTCCCCACCGAGCTCTACTGGAGCATGCTGCGAGCAGGGGAGCGGGCCAAGAACCGAGGCCAGCACCGCCTGACCCTTGGGCGAGAAAGAAATAGCCTCTGAGATTCTGCTGTAGTATATAGCTGAGTTGTTCTTGTGGCACGGCTGGTGGGAAGTAAATGGTACGGCTTGCCCATCTAGGTTTCATCATTCCCCTTGCCCACCTAAAGGGAATTATGCCATCTACTTTTACCCAGGTGTAGTCTACGGTTATTTCGGGGGGAGGGACAACCCAATTTGTTCCAGGTAACGTACTTTTGGGGGATTCTGGAAGGGGCAATTTTAGTTTAGTCCTTCCTGAGAGTTATGGTAAGGGCTATATGCACAATGGTCAAGACACCAATTTAGTTGGAGTTGGTAGGGCCGGGCATTAACATGTGCAGATTTAGAGAGCCATTGTAAGGGTTCCGATTCAGTACATGAGCCATGACCAGGACCACACATTCGGAGTTTTGACAATGGCACACTTGACATGGCTGAACTCGTGAAGTTTCTCACCAAAAGCAGGGGACGAGCAATCCCAAGTTTGCCCCATGTTCGTTAGGGCAAAGTAATCTTGACCGTGGCCCATATGAATATTGTTGCACATGTTATTTCCAAGAATCCAGGGTCTTCTTGGGTGTCATGAGCCATGCGAGATCTTGGGAGGAAGTTACGCTTTGTTCCGTACACAGACAATTTGCCTGGGATTTTGGAGGATGATTTCTGTGAGGCCTAGCTTAGTTTTCAGCATTTGCTTTTTGCCGTTCTGGAAACCGTTGCTCAGGAAAGACCGCAGCTCACGAAAGCTCCAAGAGTCTCCGAGGCCGCACTTGGTGAAGAGCAATTAGTCAGGGACTGGCTGAGTTTAGTTCCGGTGGGCCGGTAGCTGGGACTGGGACAGACGCTGGGCCAGCCATGCAAAGGATTCAACGAACGCCAAAACACACACACACACACATACACACACGACATGTCGCACAAGACCCCTTCCGCAAAGGACTCCGCTCTTCCGGGAGGGGGTCTTTGCGAGTGCGTATGGGGAACGGACAATGCCGTGGGTGCTTCCGAGCAAATGGGGGACCCCTTTTGGCTAAGGGCAATCCAAAAGAGAGCAACTGGTTGTAGGGCTCACCCTATTTTGGGAAGCACCCACGTTTAGAAGGCAGCGACGCTTGCCAGACCCAAAGCCCAGCGGCGCCCTTATGCATGCGACCCAACAGGGGCGGTCCAAAAAACGGACTGGTGCATAGCACTCGATCAATTGTGGCGGTTGGACAGAATTCAGTCTGTAAAGTCAAGGTCCTCGAATGTATGCGCCGTGTCAGGGCTACACCCCAGAGAATGCCCGTGCACAAGTGCGAATTGCAAACTATGTTGGATTTGCTGCTTCGGTGCAGGCATGTTGAAGGTGAGCGAGCCCAGCATTCGAAGACTTTGCGGATGTGATTCCAGTTGCTGAAGCTTAGGAAAAAAGATAGGCGCTTGACTTGCGCTTGCCCCAAGTGCCATCCCACCTGGGGGATTGTAAATGTAAAAGGCCACAAAACGGGTGGGTTCACAGAAAAACCCTTTCAAGGGTAGCCTCAAACTAAACACAGCCCTGCCATGAACTTTCCTGTGGTTGAGTGTTTGCTGGCTTCATTTTCAACGAGGGTGGTTTTTTGTTTGGTGTGTGTGTTTGCGAGTGCCATACAAACCGCATGATGGGTGGGTTGGGACCTTCCAGAGTGATTTGTCCAATCAGGATACTCTCTTGGGGAGAGTTTGAGCCTTGCCAGAGCCTTCAATTCTAGGGGCAACATCCCCATTCTTTTGAGGGATTCCCCTGTCCAGAAACCAGCACAAACCCAAAGGAAGTGCCTGACTGAACAGTTGAACAGAACGCAGAATCGACCCCTAGGGCCTATAGTATCAATGCTTGCCAGCAGCAATGTGAAACGAGAAAGCGCGCTCGGCAAATGTCAAGACGCCCAATTACCCTCGTAAAAAACAAGCATGGAACCCGAAATGTGTTCCCTGCAGACAAGTTTGCTCTGACCGGGAGGGTGCCGCTCTGATAATCCAGCAGGGAGCTTGAACGAAAATCAAGGACCTGTCCAGGCTAGCTTGCTGCAGCAGCCACATGGCCCGGCAAAGCACATGTCACATGCAGGACATCATAGGCTCCTGTTAGCTTCTACGAACCCCTTCTAAGAAGGTTCAGCCCATGGGTGACCATAGATGGCGCAATTCCGTTGCAAGCAGTTAAAGGGATTTACAAAACCAACATTTCACTTCAACAACCTCATCCTGGCAGAACTTGAATGGATTCCTCGCCAAGCCCAAGCGCAGTTTTGGCCCTCGGGCTGCCGAAAGGAGCCCGCAAGGTGTCGCAACTGAAGGCACGGCTTGGTATTGCTGGGGTCTGACGTTACAGTTGGGAAAGTCGATGGGGCAATTCCAGAACATTTGGGATTGCTCATCACCTTCACCTAAAGCCCCACAGACGAATTCCGCCATCTACTTTCACCTGGTGTGTTTAACAATATGTAATTTTCCGGGCGACTAAGTCATGCGAACTATGAACCAGGGCAAGCAGGGGGTCTCCCCTACGTTCAGTTGATACTGGTTGTTTGGCTGGTTGGCTGGTTGGTTGGTTGGTTGGTTGGTTGGTTCAATCTAACCCCTAAAGCGTGGTCAAATGGAGGGGCCTTTGCGAACTGAACCTGTTTGCTTTGGTTCCGCGGGTCTAGTTTAATTCCCGGGAATGAGGGCATGTTTTCTTTTTTTTTCTCCCTTCTGAGGCTGGTCTGAAGGGGAAAACAAGAAAGAAAGCCGCCATTCTGGCTGTGTGCCTTCTGCCGGCCAGTCCAAATTTTTGAGGGAACACGCGTTCTCCCTGCCACGGGACAGATTGCTTCTCGTGTTCGGACTCGGGATGCCACCGTTGCTAATTGAATTTGTGTTTTGTCTCTGGGTCATGGCTTAACCTTTGGAATAAGCCTTGGATGCCATGTCGCTGACTGGTCACGCAAGACATTCATGACTTCCAGCCGTGAAGGTCCGGAGAACTACGCTAGCAAGGTGTTCGTCGGCACCAAGGATTGCACATGAGCGAGTGCGCCCTTAGCACGGCGTCGAAGTGGTGTCGAAGAATGGACAGCGGTGTTGGCCCCAGACAAGGATTACTGCATGCGATGGCAGGAAGGTGATGGTGACGGGTTTGAGTGTTCCTACAAAGAGGGAGGTTTCATCGAATCAAGGGGCACCAACTCTTTGGTCGAGTCAACAGGTTGCTTCCAACCTGTTGATGGTCTTTTCGGACAATTCATAACGATCTGACCTGCAGGACAGATCGTCTAACGAGCTCACCCTTGATTGATCCTTTCTCAGGAATTGCTAATGTGCATGTGCTGAATTACAGTGAGCTGCCCAAACCTTTGTCGTTGGGCGTGCCCGAGCAAGCCACGATGCAGCTGTTTCGGCTCCAAAAACTTTGGGATCACTCGACGTTCCACCAGAGGCGCGGGCGCCGGCGATTGGCTTTGCAGCTGGCGTCATTTAGGGCTTGTCGTGTTTGAGGACGCCGGAGGAGCAAAGGCAGAAGTGGGGATTCGCGCCCCTTCCCCGGCGGAGTTGCCAGAAACCCAAGCTCACCATGTTACCGGAAATGAAACAAGCTCGCCTGGCAATCCTTGCTTTCAAGATTTGGAATTATCGCAAAGATGAAGATTTCTTACCCCCCATTTGGGGGTGGCCTGGTCACACCAGGCCATGGGAGTCGCCAGCAAGCTCATTACCTCCTTCGCTGACCAGGAGGGTCGGCAAGGTTTCAAGCCTTGGCGTGTTCCTCCCAGGGATGTGAAAAAGCAAATTTTCCATGAAACCGAGAGTTGCCCATTTGGAACACGTCACCCAACACCCCTCCCATAACGCAGTCCGTTGTTCAATGTTTTAAAGTGGGCAACCGTTTCTTGTTATTGTTGTTGTTGCTGCTGCTGCTGCTGTTGTTGCTGCTGCTGCTGCTGCTGCTGCTGCTGCTGTTGTTGTTGTTGTTGTTGTTGTTGTTGTTGTTGTTGTTGTTGTTGTTGTTGTTGTTGTTGTTGTTGTTGTTGTTGTTGTTGTTGTTGTTGTTGTTGTTGTTGTTGTTGTTGTTGTTGTTGTTGTTGTTGTTGTTGTTGTTGTTGTTGTTGTTGTTGTTGTTGTTGTTGTTGTTGTTGTTGTTGTTGTTGTTGTTGTTGTTGTTGTTGTTGTTGTTGTTGTTGTTGTTGTTGTTGTTGTTGTTGTTGTTGTTGTTGTTGTTGTTGTTGTTGTTGTTGTTGTTGCTGTGTTGTTGTTGTTGTTGTTGTTGTTGTTGTTGCTGTTGCTGTTGCTGTTGCTGTTGCTGTTGCTGTTGCTGTTGCTGTTGCTGTTGCTGTTGCTGTTGCTGTTGCTGTTGCTGTTGCTGTTGCTGTTGCTGTTGCTGTTGCTGTTGCTGTTGCTGTTGCTGTTGCTGTTGCTGCTGTTGCTGTTGTTGTTGTTGTTGTTGTTGTTGTTGTTGTTGTTGTTGTTGTTGTTGTTGTTGTTGTTGTTGTTGTTGTTGTTGTTGTTGTTGCCGGCTTCTAAAGCAAACCTGCGGCCACTCGAAAACGATCCGTTTTAAAAGGAAGGCTTTGTGACGGCACAGCCTGTGGCTTCCTTGTGTTTTTTTTTTTTTTTTTTTTGGGGGGGGGGGGGTTAGTACCTACCAGCTTTTGGGTGGAAACATAAAGTAGTGACGCTAGTGCGGTGTCCAATGGGCAGGCATTCCTTATTCGCCCTCGATGAAGTCACGGGCAGAGTTCCAGTTTAAGGCCAGAGGCTTTTAGCTGATGCTTTTTCGCTCCAGAGGTATAAAGACCACACGGCTCCTGTTTGATTTTGGTTGCTTTGGTTAGCTACAATGTAGCAGAGGTTGCTCTGCTGCCCAGAAGAATAGAATGGGCACGAGCAGTCCTGCGTCAGGTTTCCTGAAGGCAGGACTGCACTTTGGTGGCCCCCACCCTCCAAAAAAGCACGTGCTGCTTCCCAACCTTTCTTGGCTCGTCCCAAGTGAAATCACCCGGGATCCAGCGCAAAGGTCCCAGGCAGACATCCTGAGCAAATCTCCTCAACCGCTGCAAACCTTAAGGATCTAGTGTGCTTCGAAACGGACCAGCAACTTTAGACCATTGGTGTAAAGATCGTGGAGGGTATCTCACGTGTTTGCACATATCTCCCGGTGATGTTCTTGTGTGTCCAATTTTTGATTCAGCGTCTATGGCCCGTATACAATGGTCCGCAATTGACTGCAATTGCGCACTAACAATCAGAATTAAGCTTCAACTACATCACTTGCTGTGGTTCTGAACCAGCGGATCGAGTACACGACTGTGGCTGTTTCTTTGAATCCCAAGTTGCAGCGTTTGGGGCCTCAGGGCCTGGAGCTCCGCGAGTACTACGCGGCGGCTTGCGGCCACTGCCAGGCAAAGACATCCTCAAATCAATGTCCCGCGAACCGGTCGGGGATTTTGATTTCACGGAGTGCTAAATGGGACCTGTTTGCTTTTTTACCCTGGCCCAACCAAAAGGCTTGGGGTGGAGAAGCCTGGTCGCCCAAGAGCCAACAATTTGTAGTTATCCGAAATCACAAGGTGAATGCCCATGTCCGTATATCAACCCTTGGTATCAACCCCAAGCTTATAAGTTACTCAACCACTAGTTGTGGCTTGATTTTGGGGGAACCGATTGCACAGCGTTTAAAGTGGTCCTGATGCATGTGCATATATATATATATATGTGTGTAGTCTATGTACATACATATATATATATGTGTGTGTCAATGCAATCTGCCCTTGATAAAAGGAAATCAAAAGGGGATTGGCAACTTTCCTTTTCAGACCCGCAATTTACCTTCGGGTTTGCACCTCCTCCCGAGTACGACTGCGTTGAAAAAGGGGAGGTGCAGCCCTAACAAAGGGGTGCTCGCCCCCCATACATTGCAGGAATGTGCGTAATGTGGGTGCAACAAGGGAAACGCTGTTTGGAGGGCGGCCCTCACGCCCCCCAGTTGGGGATGCTTTCATCAGAGGACCTGGCTGCAGCTAGAGCTAGTGGCGTGAGGCGTGAGGCATTTGTGGTATGTTTTCATGTTGGCTCTCCTGGGGTCAGCTGAGGCGTATTGTCACAAAGCTGGCTTTCGCCGGCTATAGCGGGCAAGCGCGAGGGCTGAAGTTCAACTTATTGATTCTGGCACTATTCTTGGCACAACATATTTTAGACTCAGAAATTGTTGGACTTCGAACAATCCCCGCAAGAAATTTGCTCGGCCAAACTCGGCTGCAACAATACAATCTCACCGCGTGCAGGGCCTCAAGCATGTTGCTGGCTGATGGTCAGTCGACCCAACACGGAAGCAAGGCAGCGTTGCGCCGATAGTGTGGTTGCCCGGCACAGTTTCAAGGTTGCCACACAGGGCGGTGTCCACACACATTTAGGTTGGCCCTTTTTGCACAATGTCCATCCTTTTTCGTTGGTACAGGATCATGTGTAAGCAGGAGGGGGCCAAGCTTCATGAATTCCAGTTAGAGCTCGCAATTCCACTGCTAGTGCCCCCCCCCCGTCAACTGCATGTTGCTGAAAGCAACAGCAAAGGAGACCTCCTGATTCCAGTGTGGGGAGGGGATGTCATAACCGGGCTTGCCGTTGCAAGTCGCAGGCATGCCATGCATCCCTGAAGCAATGCTCCCTAGCACTGGAAGGGGCTTTGCAAACAACGTGATTTTGTTTAAAGTTTGCATAAAATCCACTTCATTTTCTCACCAAGATGCCAGGCGCTGTCTCCTGCCTGGAAGTCGGCTCAGAAGGCGTACGCCGGCCCGGTGGTCTTCCGACGCTCGGGCACAATGCGCTGAGGGGTCCCAATGTAAAGCGTTCCCGTTTTGCATGGCCAACCCACCCAGAAAGTGGTCGACTCATTTGTGCAGTATGGATTTGCCCACGTGATTCCTTGGCAGGTTGCCCTTTTGCTTGTCCCAGCGTGGATGTTGGAATTTCTGGTGATTCCAAAAGCGGGACCACTGAAAACAGGTGTCGTCACGCGTTTCCCTTTAGAACGCAAACCAACCCTTACCCTCATGTGTGGGTTTGTAGCCTTGGAGTTGCCTCCGAAATGCACTTGATCCGTGCAAATCCTCATCAGCGCTCCCCGCGTATGGCCAGTTCACTGAGCAGCAATGCAGTTGAGCCTTGTCCGAGTTCTTCAGGGGATTCCACCCTTTGTATATAATCCCTTTGTGTTTCGTTCGCAACAAAATCGTCAACCCCAAAAACAGCTCCATTTTCTCATACAGGGTCAAGGGGTGCATTTGTGTTTCTTCAACGGGTGGGGGTCACTCCCACAGTGTTCAGTTCAAGGTTCCCAGCAAAGAAAACCCACAAAGAAGACTGACCCATTTGCGCACGCAATCATAGAGAAGCGCCAGACTAGATACATGCACCCTGCTGCAGCGATTTGCTCCCTGTAAGCTGGCTTGGCTCTAGCGGCCCTACCGTTCATTGGATGTGGTCGGTGTTTCAACGGGAATCCACCAATTTTGGACTCAAGACAAATGTTTGGATGTTGCTCAGGTCAGATCGAGTGCAACGACAAAAATTGGAATCCGGTGCCAGAGAATGCGGAGCTTTGCAAGGCTCGCCCGTCCGTGCCAGTGTCTTACAAGATCCCTTTACTTGCGGTTAAGGATGGTCTTGGACCCTTTTTTGGCATTTCGATGACCATCATGTTGGCTGTTGGTTAATCTTTGAGCCCGTATTCGTTTGTCCCCGCACACAAGTAGGGGGCAACTACAAATTACAAGATTCCTATTCGGCGGCCATTCGCCACCATGGCCGACCGGGTGCTTGTTTGGCAAGGACGTGAGGGCCTTCCCAACCATCAAGCAACTCGGCGGTGTTTACTTAAGGAATCAAGGGGGAGTTGTTTGTGACGCCACCCGAGTAAAGTCCCTAGTAGGGTTGCGTTTTGTGAGGGCGACCTTTTTTGGGCTTGCAAAAGGAACCAAAGGGAAACTGGGAAACTCCATTTTCGGGGCTTCCTTGGTGTGAGCTGGTGATGTGCGCTATGGGCTTTAGGTGAAGGGCCACAGGTTGCTTGCACGCTGCGGCTAAGTGCGAATTGAATGTGGCTGCGCGTGGAAGGTTAAGTTGTTGTTTTCTCTGGGATGGCAACCTTGTAACAATTGTACACCAGTGCGAAAGTAGATTGGACAACTCCCTTGAACCTTATGGGTAAGCAGGAGGACTAAACCAACATGAGGGAGTTGTGCCATCTACCCTCACCCAACTGTGCGTGGAAAACAGGAATGCCAGACGTGTCCAGTGCCCGTTCCTGCAAGGCACCTAGGTTGTCTACTGCGAAACGACCAGGAGATGAAAGCGGGCGGCAGGGATGTTTGGATGTTCCGAAAGGCCTGTGGCAGACACCTCTGCCAGGATGGAAGATCCACACACCTCAACTATTGTATGGGCTAATGGGAAGGGCGGCCGTACCATGCCGTACCCGCAACAAAGGATTGGTTGGTTCGCCATACAAGTGTGTGTGCCTTGCGCGTCAAAATGATGGGGGAGGGGCGGGGCATGTTTCCCAGTATTTTGCAGTTGCGTGTGGGGACGATTCCAGCCAAGGATGTTCAAGGATGGCAAGGAGGTGTCAGACTACGAGGGCAATCGCAGCTCTGCCTCCCTGGTAGACTTTGCCAAGCAGCACGAGATGCCTGGCGCTCTATTCATACCTAATAATTGTGTCACCTTTATTATGAAACAAATGCACAAGATAAGAACAAAAGAAGAACCAACACAAGCTGGCTCAATGAGGGGATGTCTTTGCTTGGACCCTTTCGCGACCCCCCTTTTGAAAAATATGCTGCTTGGTTACAAATGTCAGCACGGTGGTGATTGGTCCATTTGGCGGGGATGGGAATGACTTACAAAACCTAAATCTAAGGGGCCACCAGGGTAACTTGGCTAAGCACAAGGCTAGCTGGCATTTGCTAAGGTTTAGGGTTTGGGGTTCTTGTGCACCTTGCCAAAGGCATCTGGCACTGTTTGACTGTAGCCTTCATTTGGTACTGATGCCTGTGCAGGCTTTGCACTGCCAACCTTTTCAGACTACCATCCGGCCTTTGATGGCCCCATGGAGCCATTCTTTGGTCTAACAGCAAGTGGGCGCGGCAGGAAAAGAACAGAAGCCATTCTTTGGTCTAACAGCGAGGTTCGGCCAAAGATCCGTCAGTCTGTTGTCCATTCAGGATGGACATGGCGGATTTTGTTGATTTCCGGCAAGACTTCCAGGGGCCTTACTATTTTTTTCACATTTTGACACTTTTTTATGGGTTGCGCCATCGCAACATGAAGAGTATAGCACCCGTTTTTGTCTTGGGCGTACTGATTTGAGGGTAGTGGCGACAATCTTAGCTAGACAGCGGTAAGCCAAGGAGCTGGGGGGGTATGCAATTTTGCCAATGAACGATGGAGCTACGGAACTGCCAAGAGTTGTATGAGGTCGTTGGTTTGATAACAGCAGCTGCATGTCAAGGAAGCTCCTGACGCAGTCCATGCCCATGTCGCTGGCCCTGCTGCCGCCGCCAGAACGCCGGCGCGCTGTGGCATGGCTTTGTTGCCGGTCAGAGCTACGCAGCTTCACCCAGATGCTGGGTAGCTGGTGGTTTGCCCTTCTTGTTTGCGTCCCTTGTTCTATTTTGGTCTCTGGCCAAACGGGTACCGATGCGTGATGAACAGGTGGTTGTGTGAAGCAAGCTGTTGAAGTCTGTTTGATTGTAGCAGTGATGCTCAACACCGTCACATGTGGCTCAATGTATGGCGGTGAGCATGCGCTGTTTGAACAAAGCCGCCTCCACCAGCTCCACCAGCTCCACCATCTCCTAAGCTGAGGCGGATTTCCTCTGAATGGCGGGCCTTGCACCTCGGATTTCCTGCTCGCTGTGGCGATGCATGTTTCTCATGCGCATGTGCAAGCATAGACATGGAAGGGGAAGCTTTCACCAGGACATGGTAGGAAATTGACATGCATGCCCCAATGAAGGACCTGTACTGGCCTTGGTAGAAGTACGCCGCGCGAAATGTCGGGGCTCGATTGGCTTGGAGCCAAGGACCATTGGCCCTGGCTAGTGAGCTACCGGCGAAGCAGAGTGCCTTGAAGCTGTGAAGGGCTCCAATAAAGTGGCGGATGAGAGAAGAGTCATCGAGCTCCATTTGCAGCCGGCTTTTTCACTCGGCAGCTCAGCGCTGTTCATAACTAGCTGCGACCAGTACGAGAGCAATCAGCCTTCAAGAGCATTGTCTGCATGTGGGTGCACTTCCCGTGCTAACCAGTGCAATTTGCAAGATGAAGCGCGGAGAAGTTCATCTGGTAGCCTGGCAAGGCTTAAGTGACAAGCTCTGGGGCTTCGTGGCATCAGTCAGAGGCCCGGTGGAAGAAAGTGGGCAGAAACAAAAGAGACACGCGGTGCGGTATGTGAGACGATGCAGGTACCCTGTTTCTAAGATGAAAGCCCACAGGTTTGTAAAATGGCCTGTCCACTCTCGCATGTTTGTTTTACACAACTCTTTGGCGCCACCCACCCACCCAACAACACCCTTGGGATAGCTGAATTTGGGGTGGATTTGGGGTGGTGGTGTTTTTGGAGGGTGGCGGGAGCATTTTCATGACTGTTAGGCGAGGTCAAAATTTGTCACTGCCCGGCTCAAGCGCTGGCCCCGCTGGCCGAGAGCACCGTTGCATCCAACGCAGAAGCCTGCGGCTTCGTGGCATCAAACAAAACGCTCCAGCTTTGACCATGCGACCTGGACTGGCGAATGGAATGGCCAAGAGCCGAAGGGAAAGCCCTGAAATGAACATTCCAGCTCTTGCCCAGCTAAATGCACCGACTGTGAAGCTCTTGCACAACTGGGGTACTGTACATCAGCTTCATTTTGATACAGTCCTCCTTCATCTCGCCGAGAAGCTTTACGGCGGCACCGGGATGTCACGCCGCGGGCCTAGCCTCACTCAGCTCTTGGCCCAGCTTTCTTGACCTGTGCTACACTTGTGAATCGGGGACCTTTTTGGCAGACGTGCAAGGACAATACATGCAACATCGTCCAATGCGTTGATATGCCAAGGGTTCCACGATTGAAACTGCCCAACGTTGTGCTTCTTAGAGGCAAACGTGGGTCCGCGTCAATGGGCAGGCCTCCTGTTGTGGGAATGCCAAACTGGTCCCATCAGGCGGCATGCTGCTTCACCTCGAGGCAGCTCGGAAACGGTCAGGCATGTGGAGAGCAGGTGTGCATGGTGCTGTGCTTGCCAACCCGTGCACAAATGGGTGTAAATTGAATTGGCTGGTGGACATCATTTCGGTGGGATCCATGCCCACCAATCATGTGGATGGATGGTTTCCCACTAAAAGTCACAGGCAAATCATCAAACATGGCTCTCCAATGCACGTTGATCGGACAGGTTCTCGCAATCAAGAATTGAAGTTGACAGCAAGCAAACAGTCGAGCACTTATGCTTGACAAGCCGGCGACAGCACTTCTGGCCTCATGCAACCAAGAACCCGCTGGCCTTGAGGCAGCCGAAGAATCCCTGCACCGTGTTGGGAGATTTGGTCAACTGTTAGAAGAAGAGTCCAACCGCGCACTTCAATGCTGAATGTATGACCCCGTGATATGAACCCTCAATCAACGTTTCAATTGTTGGAGCCGGCTACTAAAGGAAACTGGCCATGGCTTCATTCAATGAATGAACAGCGTGGCTCTTAGCCCTGAGGACAGCTTGGGCATTGGGTTTCCAGATGCCACTGCTCGCAGGCACATGCCGGCTCTCGCCTCACAGGTGGCATGTCTGCAGGGAGTGCCGTGAAAGATCCATCAAACTGAAGACCCATTTGTTGCAGGTTTTCGCGGCTGCATGGTGCGGAGTTTAGTGTGCTTTCATCCTGGCACACTTTTTACCTGCGATCACCATCAGCCACACGCAGGATAGAACATCATGCAGTATGATGTGGTAACTACTGTGCCGATTACCGCCAAGATGGCTTCCACTACCCATGAGCGATGTTTGGACGGGCCTTTGCATTGTTGTTTGCCATTGCCACTGGGTTGCTGCGTGCCTTTGGGCAATCATTAGGTGGAGTGGCTGGCATGTAGCAGAGTGCCATCTTTTGTCGCTTCTCCTGAATAGTTTAAGATGCAAGGATGGAGCATTCTTCACATGAGATAATCCATTGTCTCAAATTACTCAGTGCCCAAAGCCCCCATTGGCAATGTCGGTAATTTCAGGTGGAACTACTGCCGGGATCCACAGGGGTGGAGGCATGATGAGCATGTTGGGTGGAACCAAAAGTCAATAGTTTTGGGACGCTGCTCAACCAGTTTCCGACCGTTCAGGTCACTGGCTGCATTTGGGATTGTCTCAGTCTCAGGTCCCACTTCCTTCAGCGAGGGCTTGGAACTGCGGGAGTACTATGCTGCAGCCTGCGGACCGGGAGAGAGGAGAGAGAGAGGGCTATGAATCTTCAAAGTGGTTTGCGGACATGATCCGATGTCCGCCAAGGCTCCATTGCTCAAGATTCATGCTCATGCCATGAAACCAATTGAACTGATGCGTCTCAAACACATGACCTTTCCCCGCACATTGTGACTTGCTTGTCAAGGGGCCGTTGATTTCTAGTTGTGTTGTGGCAGCTCTAAATCCATTTGTTGTTTCTCCACTGAAACCCCAAACCCCGTTCCCAAAACAAGAACCCAAAAAATGGACACCCTTTTCTATAAATCTTAAGCCAAAGAAGGGCTCTCCATGGCTCCCCACTAAAGATTATAAGCCCAAGAATGTGTCCCCACCCAAAATGACAAAAGCCAACAATTGCACTAAACAGATTCGATACGAGAGGGCTTCCCTTCTACCGTTCGCGTCCCTGGTTGCACGCCTGGGGGGTGTTCGAAGCCATTTCCATTGAGGACATTGCCAAGACTTGGCGCCTGCATGGCGCAAAGCCGCCTCCGACTACTCAGGGCCGGCGCCTGCGTCTGAATTGGTTCATGTGAGCCTTTGAGGCTTACACTCAGGGGGCTCCTTGAGCGGGTTCTAACCAGCGGGTCCCGGCTTGCACGAAAGGACAATCATGTTAGTGTGCGAAAGGAACCCATTTGCTAGAGCCCATTTAGGGTCACCACATTTTTTCCCAAGGTAAATTTGCATTAAAACAAGGAATCCCCCGGAGGGGAAAGAACAAAACACTTTGCAAATAGGGCGCAGGGAGCTTAGTGAGTGGTTTGAGACAGAGCTTATCACCTTATATATACTTGGCAAGCTAGCAGCCATGGTAGGTGGGTCAAACCATGCTTGCTCACCACTTCCTTAGTATGAATCTTGTGTCCAAACCCATCTTAGATGGCTGGGTTGATGTTAATCGATGATGTTTTTTTCTGGGGCCCTGCTGGACCAAGCAGCCCCAACTGCACTCGCGAAATATCAGTGAAGTGGATTGCAAAAGAGTTGCCAAGTGCATAGGGCAAATCCCCCTTCAAAGTTTTCACGGTCAGAACCCCTGGAAGGTTCTCAGAATGGGGGCGACCACATTTGGACGAGCGCCAACGAGAAACGAAGAGGATCGAGACGAAAGCCAGGCCCATCTATATAAGAATAGTTTGAGTCCTTTTTAGCCGATTTGTTTTCTTCGTTAGAGCGGTACCTTCAATATTAGGGTGAACGGATGAACAGGGCCAGACAGGGAGCCCTGTCATATTGGCCGACAAGCTGGCTGCCAGCGGTGTGTGGCCATCGGGCAATCAAGGTTGCCTTCCGCCAGATCGAGTGTAACGACAAGGATTGGAAACCGGCTCCTTGACCGCAAAGCAGGTCACGGTTGTGGGAAACGTGATTTTTGCTTGCCACCTGTGACGTGAGAAAGCGGTGATGGGGGTGCCCACTTTGGCATCGAAGAACGGTGTACGGTGACACCAGGTGCCCAGGTTCCCAGCGAAAATAGAAACGCATTTGTTTCATACAAATTGGGGCAACTAGCCCCGAACACTATCGAACGCTCACTTTTGGAAGCGCCTCATAAAAAGGCCTTGGCGTGTGTTGGAGGCTGCTTCGATCAACCTAGCAGTTCACTAAAATCCGCTGGCAAGGTCGAGGACAACAAGGATTTGTGCAAGGACATCGAGGCTTTCCCGAGTATAAAGCAGCTTGGCGGTACTCATGCCACCGCAGTGATGTTGGCAATGGAGAAAGCCATAAGGCCACTAAATTTGCATTGGTCACGCTTTGGCGGACAGACAAAAAAGCAAGCTATCTATGCAACCAGCAAGTTTTGGGTGTTCCAAACAAAGGCATCCCAAGGGTTAGTTTCAAAATAGGGGAGCCCGCCTGAAATCGGCGGGTTTCCTTTGTATGAAAGCTATCCCAGATCGAATTTCTGCGCCATGAAATCCTAGCAATGAGGCACATAATTTGTCAAGTACTGATCTTCGTCCATCAGTCGAAACATAGCCGCGTTTGCAAGGCTTTTCAAGGACGGCGAAGAGGTGACAAGTTATGTTGCTTGGCTGCAGTTGGCCCTGTTGCAGCATTGCATGTGTGCACGTCAATGTGGGTGTGTCTTTTTAGAGGGTACCCCTTTTGGGATTTGTTTGCAAGAGAAACACAGTGGAAATTGCACGTTCAGGAGTAGTCCCTATTTCAGAGAAAACCCCACATATCAAGAGAGACATTAGGACCCTACCTCGCAGAAACGCTATCAGAATTCAACTTCCTCAGAACCTTTCCAAGTGATGGGGAGAGCGAGGGCCTGGTTTCTTTGAATTTCATGGCTACTTGAATCGCCGCTGCATTTTCGGGAAACATGTGCCGATTTCCAGGCTGTCTTTCATGCTGGCTGTCCTTGCTGCTCCTGCGCATCCTTTCACAAATTGCATGCCCCCCGCTCCGCTAGCGGCGTAGGTTTCCTTCTTGTGCATGTGTTCCAACGAGAATGCAGGCCACAAAGCAGGTTCCCCTGCTTTCACTCACAACTCCTATCTTAGCGCCAGATGTTGCATGCAAGGCCAGCAAAGGCCTTTTTCCGAATCCTCATGGTATTCCTGGGCAGGTAAATGGACAGCAATGTGCAGACATGGGGGCCAAGTAATTCCAGCCTGGGGTCGGGATTAGGTTCTCTGCTCGGGGAGCATGGGCTCAGGAAGGTAGCCGCACGGCAGAGGATTTGGTGCACTTCGCAAAGCAGAATGAGTCGCTCGGATGGCAAGGGGCGCTGGGCAGTCACGGTTCGTGGACGGACAATGAGCAGCCAGCAAAATATATTGGCAGTTTGCAGAGGACACGGCGGCCCACGTTTTTCTTTGCAGGACCTCATGAGTGAACTGGACATTCGTCCAGGGTGTATTTCCTAGCGGTTGGCTGGCAGAGTAAAGGGAGTGAGGTGTTTCAAATTTGAACGGATGCGTGCTCGGCTCCACTCGTCTCACATTAGTAGAAGGAGCACGAGCAACGCTTTCCTCCGCAATGTCCTTTCTCGGTTCCCAGCACCTGAACGTTTTTGAGACGGCTCAAAGAGCAGCACTCCGCACCTGCCTGTCAAGACTCGGCCGCAAGGTGCGCAAGAACTGCAAGCAATCAGGCGTATGCAGCATGTAATGACTGACTTCCTTCGATTTCACCTGGAGAACTTCAAGGATGAGCGTCCCAGAAATCTGCGAGCTGGTGCCCAACAAAGCCCTTCCGTTGAAGGCTCGAGCGAAATATCGGAGAGGAATCTATTCCATGTGAATAGCCTGAAACTGATTTGCTTTGCCTTGAAAGCACCCATTCCCAGAACAAGGCTTTCAAAACATATTCACCCAACATGTATGGCCGGAAGCAGGCAAAGCATTCGCCTTCCCCTGCCTCCTGAGGAAGTTGGCTGAGCAGAGCATGCCCGCAGTGGTCTTTTTGGCGCAGCGCGGTGCTCCCAAGATGCGGCGCAGAGACTTTCTGTGAGCCGACTGTTCATAGGATTGGAAAGCCCCGTGCTCGCCAAAGCAGCGATGAGCAGCGATGAAAAGCACTGGGTGGGGTGAGGAGTTTGCAGGGGAGCAATGGCAAGTGTGGGTGGATGCAGGCAGGCTGCCTCCAGATTAATTCACCATGGCATTGCAGAAGCTATTCATGCATTTGCTCTCTATACTGTTCACCAAGGGTGAAGTGTTTGACCTAGCTACCCAAGAAAGCAACAGTTGAACGTGCCGGCTTGTACTTTTGCAACTACACACTGTTTGGTTCACGATCCTGGCAGGCAGCGCGCCTCAAGGCTTCAAAGGTGACAACTGCAAGGCCTTGCTATGACCCCGTGCGACAACTTCAGGCGTTTTCACATGCCGGCGTGCAGATCAAGTTTGGCTGCCCTCAATTCTTGGTTGTTCTCTGAAAGTTGTAGCCGTAGGTGGGGAGAGAAAGGCGCGAGCAGGATGCCGTAGTTCGACCTTTGCACCGCCCCCTCTTTCAGGACATGCGTTTAGAGGTGATTGCCCACGGAGCATGATGCAGATGCAAGGCTTTCTTACTTCCCCTCGCACCTTGAAATGGAGCCTGAGACAAACGATGCCTTGATTTGTGAGGTAGCTTCCCACTGGTGATATGAACCAGGCAGCCCTTGGTCGGTTTGGATTGCTGGTTTGGGGATTGGAACCCTTGGTTCTTAGTAAATTGGGAAGCCACCAGAAACCTTCAAGCCTCCGTTGCAAACCACCGAGTAGAGGCCAGCTGAATGCAAGGAGGCGGGGTCGTCCTTGTCTTCCTTCATTGGCAAAAGCGAATCCGGAAGGGAGCCCAGTTTAAGTGGCACCCTCGGGGCCCTTCCCCCTGTTTTGCTCGGCAGGGCCCACCCCAAGGGTTCCGATTCTCTTCTACGGGCTGGGGCGCAACTTCAGGTACAAGCCGCCGTGAAGTGACAGAGCCAAGGCGTGGCGCGATCCGGGCCAGGGAAACTTGAGCGCAAAAGGTTGCGATAGATTCACGACAACTAATGACAAGCGGGGCAGTCCCTATTTGATAATTTTGACAGGACATTGAACGGGTCACCCAGTTCAAAGGCTTCCCGGTTCAAAGGCCCCTTTTCTGAGGATGCCATTCAGTGCCACAGTTCGCCGGGGGGGGATTGAAAGGAGGACACATGTTGACGTGCCCTTTTTGAGGAAAACAACCATGCAGGTTTGAGCTTCCTTGAACAGAAGGTGGCTGACGATGTGGATGGAAGCGCCAGTTGCTCAGTTTGATTGATGAGTTTATCACCCAACATTAGCCCCACATTTGTTTTTTTTAGGAGTTACTTTGCAACTCGGGAGGCCGTTTGTGCAGTTCCCTGTTAGTTCAGTCGGATCTTGTCATGTCAACAATCTTTTGCATGCGCATCTCAGAGCAGTTGGTTCTAGCTATGAAAGTAGCACAAGCGCTTGCTGGTGGCAAAAAAGCCGCGAAAAGTGCAGGCTTACTTGTTGATCGCATCTTTTGGTTGCCACTTCTCTGGTTGTAAGATCCTTAAGTGTTAATTAATCGTTTGCGAGCCAGGATCTGATGAATCCGCAAAGCCAACTTCGGAGGCAGGACCTAAACTGGAGCCAGCAAGTGGATCAAGGAACCTCATAGTGGACCAAGGATAGGGTCCCTGCCCACACCCTTGAAAGAGCGAACGCGAAAGGGATCCGATTTGGCTACAGCGTTCGCACGAGGGCTAACCCCTGAGGATTGCACGTTCAGCCAGGCCTCGCAGCATTACCCATTCTGTGGTTTTCCTGCGGTTCGCCTTTCTTTCCACAAAGCAGACGCCCATAATATGGCCCATATGGGTTTGGCTCGGTCTTTGGGTACCCGGTACACCTTCGTTTAAAGGGAAACCAAAAGGAAGTCCGCGCTCCCTCCATTGTGACACCCAATCCCTACCCCCTAAGAATAGATGCAGGACCCCCCTTTCTTCCCCCCTGTGGGTCCCCCCGGTTCCTCCTCTTCGCTCCAGAGAGGCTCCCCGCTTTCTGGACAGCTCCCCAAAAGGACTCGGCGTCAGGAGAAATCGCTAGTTTTGAAATAGTTTAGTATTGGTCATTTTTTTTCAGTATTCAGTGATTTTGGGGTGTGGGGAAGCATGTTTTTTTCTTTTACGGGGGACCTTCATTGTAAAACAAGGGTTGACGATTACCCAAGCAGCACCCAGCCATTTTAGTAGGTCTACCTGGCTTCATGTAGGTTACGGAAAATGTCGAATCAACTCTTATAGCCACTGCTAGAACCAAATGTCAATGGGTTTTGGGCACTGTTCACATGCATGTGCCGCCCGCAGCTTTTGGCCAGCGAGTGATTGGGTCTCACAAGTTGCACTGGGAGGCCTGGGGTCTAACTTGGAGGGGCAAAGTTTGATCCCTTGCGGTTTGGTCAGAACGAGTGGTGTAGGTCCACCTGGGACAAGGGGAGGCAGACTAATGGTCGCCTGAATTTCCCATGCCCCCTGGAAATCATGCAATGCTCGGTTGGAATAAGCCTACTATCCAGTACCTTTGGCTTCTTCACAGGTATTCGAATCCAAGGTTTAGGAAGCTTCCTAAATTTGGCCAGCCCAGCCTCTTTTTTGTGCGCTCTTTGTTGACTTGCCTTTCAAGCTATCCGGTGCGTCGGTGGGCAGAAATCCCCATGTATTTCTGATCTTCATTGATTCATGTGGCACCGACACGGCCCTCCGAATTTGAGTGTTCCGTGCAAGGAGGCATTCGACAGACGACAGCAAAGACCACACATGGGCTCTTGCTGTGGCTTTTCTTCAGCGATGAGTGGGGATGTCTTGTTTGTTGCACCCCCGTTTGGAAATCGAACTGACAGCATGTTGTGTGTGTGTGTCTTTCAGGGTGCCGGGATCTCAAATCAACATCAATTTTGAAGCATAGCCCCACGCGCACCACACCTTGCCAGCTGCTTCCATTTGCCCAGAAACTTCCTACCCCACGTATGGGGGACACCCCTGAACACACCACCCACCACGATGGGAACTTAAATTGAACAAAATAATGCAAGAGCTGTGGTTGGGGGTGGCAGCAGTTTTATTAAAAGGGTTCTTGGGCGTCAGGCTCATGGAGAGTTTGGCGCCTGCTTTCGTGCCTTGGCGTTGGCAGCGGTGTGCTGCGAGGTACTTGGGTAAATCATCCTTACTTGTTTCATTATTTGGCTACCCTTTCAAGATCAGTTTTAACGAAAGCCAAAGTGAACGCCTCATTTTGGAACATACCCACATGAAGGGAATGGGGGGTGCATCCTGGAATTTCCTTTTTGGCTCCATGTCCCTTTGTGGGGTAGTAATGCGTAAATCAGTAAATGCAGCTGGATCATCCGAATGACGCAGGCTTCCCTCAGAGAACATGGGAAACTTAGAGATTGTCTGCTGAATATCTTGACCGACCTCCATGTCTTTATTTCACTCCATTTCACTCCAACTGCCGTGGGCTCCATGGGTGATCCGCACACGGGGCGAAGCATCGAAGCTCACTGATTCACCACCACCCCAGGTTACGAGCGAAGGCGAGTGGCACAATGGGGGGGGGACTCGGCAGATGGAGGCTCAAAGCATGAAGCTTCTAGCTTTACGGCGAGGTGAAGCTTTTGCAGAGGGGTCAACTGCGACCAAGCTAGCCATTGACCTCGGTCTGGCAATTCCAAGGCCACCAGATACTCCTTTCAACACGAAAATTATGCACCAAAGAGTCCTGGGAGCTTCCATGTCAACCTGAGAAGCTCGTTCTTCTTCTTCTTCTTCTTCTTTGTTTTTTTTCCATGCTCCTGGCGTGGCCGAACACCCAACGAAGCACACTACCCCCACCCACCCAAAACAAACAAATCCTCCAGTGTTGGTCAAGTTGGTCAATTCCAAGCTTCCAGAAGGGGGGGGTGTTAGATTTGCTTCGCACAGGTGACAGTTCCGGCGCAGCTCGCCAGAGAGACGACCAGAAGCCTTCAGCCAGCGGCGCCAGCCGCGCCGACCGCGACACCAAGGAGTCCCGTCACTGCGCTGCTCGGACGGTCTCAAAGGTGCAGGGGCCCATATGGGTGGGTGTGGCTCGTTTTCCTGTTTGTTGTTTTCTTTTTGTTTTCGAGGGCATTTCAGGATGGTTCAGAAAGTGAAAACAACAGGGAAACCGGTCTTCCACCGTGTTTGGGGGGGGTCTACCCAGAGGTGCGTGGACCTTAGCTAGGGAGTTTTGACCATAAACACTCCTTCTCAGGGAGCCATGGCCAAGACCTGCAACAGATAGGACCGTGGCACCATTAGCTCATGGCGATGTATGACTCTTAGGTGGTGTGCATTTCCCACGGTTGAGCCATCGGAAACTCAGCAAGGTAGGTTTGGAAAAGCAATATGTTCTTTTTGAGTTTGACATGCCGGCCCCGGAATTTAGGATGCATGGCCGTAATATTTTCGGCTTATAGCTCTCGTGCTGTTTGGATGGCAAGGCTGCTCTGCGAGCGCTGCAACTGCTGGAGCCCGGAGTCTCCTAGTCAGGGAGGCCGACTCTGTGGGTTGTGGAGTGGGGTCAGCAGTGGCCCCCGGGTGACCCCTCAGCTCCTTTTCCACGTGGAGGCGGTCGGCGAGGTCGCGCTCATCCTTGGGCCTCCCAACGGTGGGGAGGGGGTCCCAACAACTCCTGTGAGCGGAGTTGCGCCCAGCCCTGCGGAGGGCATCGCGAGGCCTTCAGAGGGGCCAGCTGGGGCTTCGGAGAAGTCAAAGAAGAAGGAGAAGAAGGAGAGAAAGGACAAGAAGGTCGAGAAGGAGGCCAAGCTGAAAAAGTAGGCCAAGGAGCTCAAGCGCCGTCCTCTCTCTGAGGGCAAGCAGAAGGGAAAGGAGAAATCAGGAAAAGGCGCCCCTCAGTCGGAAGTGTTGAAGCCAAAGCCCGTGGACGCATGAGAAGAGACCCGGAGGTGATTTCCTCTTCGCCTGAGAGGAAGCCAGTGTACAGCTGTGACAG